AAGATCCATTGAAAAAAAAAAAAATTTTCCCACTAAATATTGTATATAATTTTTATAATTTCTAAAAATTTTGTTTGAAAAGAAATTTTTGATGTATAAAGACTATCTGTATCAATTACAAATGACAATAGCCAGTTAAAAATTCAAAGTTTAACTTATAACTAAAAAACTTAGCGTAAGGAGAATTTTTCAAAACAACTAATGCCGCGCAAATACGTAAACGATACAAAGGTACACAGAAAAGTTTGTTGCTCGACGACCGAAAGGCAGACTACTCTATAAGTCGAGATCTTATGACGAGCGGGCGGCTGCTTACTACACAAAGTATTTGATTGGACAAAAAACTATACATGTTACTTTTCTACAGGCACGAACCAAGTAGAACTCATCCAATCTTAATCTTCAATCACAAATGTAAAATAAAGACTCAATTGTGTGCAAATTTTAACCACTTTAAACTACATTTAAATTTGATGAATTCAACAGTATTTATCATCATAAAAAATAGTTCTTAAAATTTGTTCTAATCTGATATATTAATAATTTTAGGGTGGTTTCCACAATTTAAATCACAAAAAACTCAATGGTAATACCTCAACATTAAAGAGAATTTTGTAAAGAACCATAGCACAGTTTTTGACTGTACAAATACTATGTAATCTGCAACTGGGATTTGAACCTTCATCCTTCGGCTTCCGAATCAAGTTCCGCAACCACTAGACCACGGGACATTATGTCCACGCGCGTATGGATAAAGTACATGTGGGAACGTGTACTGTTTATCATACACACAATAAAGTTAAAAATCAAAGAGTTTACTGTGGACCACAGTGTTGACAACGGATAATTAGTCGATTCAATATTGATTGTCTGCACGTATCAATTTTTTAACCTTATAAATCAAAAAGTTTGATCTTCTTAATATTTACATTCGTATAACCTCAAATTTGAACCACTCATTTTTAATATACTGAATAGCAATTCAGTGAAATGAGAAATTTTACTATGTCACATAACAAATTCTTCTTCTGGATGTGGGACATTTTAAAACGATTAAAATAACATTTACTATGTTTTATAGCAAAAATTATACCATCACAATTTTTACTATGTTAGACATAGTAATTTTTATTATACTGTGGAATAATTTTTGTAGAGCTACTACGTAATAAAAATTGTTTAAAACATAATAAAAATTGTTTTGAACGTAATAATTTGCGTCATCAGGTGATGTCGAAGCTTTCCTGAAAAATATAGTAATTTTTAGCATACTTATAATACTTTTTTTAACACCACTTTTCTCAGTGTATTTATGTACTGTCTGCTATAGAAGTATAACTTTGTACTTGGGTACCCAAGCACTCACTGATTTGTTGAGAATAACCACTCAATAAATTTCAATTTAATGAACTTAAAGAGAGCTCGCTAGGGCCCTTGTAATATACAGTCAGGATATTATTAGAGAATAAAAAGTAATATCGCGTTCACCGATTTCCGCTTGTTTTTTTACAATAGAATACAAAGTAAATGTAATACACACAGTAAAAATTGCAATTATCAAACTGTAAGGTGAGAGTCAATGCCTGCGCCCACATATGAGTAAATGCTGAAGAGTATGTGCATGCAGGTCTGTGTATTATCTATTGTTAAAGTGTTAAGAGTACAGGTAGCAACGTGGCAAGTTGAAAGTATGTGTGTATGATTTTTTGAGCCTTGGATCCAATTCTTATGACAACGGATTGTAATCATATCGTGTTCTTTAACACTTTCACGAAAACTTGAATTTTTTGTTGAATGAAATATTATACGGAATGGATAAAATATTGTATGGAAAAATATTAAATTTGAATAAAAACAAAATACATATTTCTAACATTTATGAATAGGACGCAGGTCAAGCAACGGAAGATATTTTGTTGTACATTTTGGAATTATTTTAATTCTGTTGAAGTGTTGCAAAAAGATATCATATTTGAATACAAACGAGAGAAAATATTATGAACAATATTTTATAGAGACCGGGCAAAGCTTCGGGGCTTTTTAGTATTTAATTTAGCACTCAGAATTCCTTTTAAGTCATATACGAAATAATATTTTCAAGAAATCAAATGAGAAAGCATTATTGTTTGTGTAATGTATTAGCTTGGGAATAAAATAAGGGAGAAAATCCTGTATGTATGAGTGTAATCTTGAATTTATTTATTCAATACTTCCCAATACGTATGTGTGCTAGTTGGCAGTTACACACGGACTGATTGTTGTTTACTCAATCCACATACTCTCAACTTGCGACGTTGCGACCTGTACTCTTTACACTTTTACAATAGATAATACACAGACCTGTACGCACCTATCCTCTTCCGCGTTTACTCATATGTGTGCGCAGGCATCGACTCTCACCTTACAGTTTGATATTTGAAATTTTTACTGTGTGTATTACATTTACGTTATATTCTATTGTAAAAAACAAGCGAACATCAGTGAACGAGCCATTACTTTTTATTCTCTAATAATATCCTGACTGGATATCACAAGAGCCCTACCAAGCTCTCTTCAAGTTCATTAAATTGAAATTTATTGAGTGGTTATTCTCGACAAATCTTATTAGTACTAAAAAAACCATAGGTCAGTTATTATACAAGAAAATATAAAGTTCTTAAATCATTAAAAAAATTATAAAACGATATCAGGATTGACTAAAAATTTAAGTTGTATACTAAAATTTTTTTCATTAGTGTAACTGAAAANGGTCCCGAGATCCACACCTGGTTTTTGTATCACTAGTGTTATTTTATACAAATTTAAATTTATTTGAACGTTTAACAGTTCTAAATTAATTAATTTTTTTTAGTAAATATACTGTTTCTAGAATTATGGTTAAAAAGTTAAAAAAAATTTCCATCACTATAACTTTTTAATAAAAGAGGATTTTATTGCCACTGTACCGTTATTCATGAGTTTATGGAAAGCAAGAAAAAATGTATTTGACATTAGTAAATGCTATTTCTTGCAAACTAAAATAACCTGCAGTTTTACACACTATTAGTGAAAGTCACAATTTGAGAAATGATAAATAAATATAATGAGCAAATTTTTCAAGTATATTAGAAGATAAACACAAAATTAGTAAAAGCACTTTTATGTTAATGATAAGTCACATAGGATTTTTTTTAATGTTTAAAATTCAACGATTGCTTACAGAAGAATATGAAGGATATGGTCCACTGTAGCCAGGCATTGGATAGTTGGAAATTGAATTGGAATACGAATAATTTGGATATTGAACATCAGCTGAAACAAACACGTTCGACACAATAGGCTGAGGCGGTTGTGGATACCCTGATTGTGCCAATACGTGTGGCATTGGCATGACAGCTGAAACATTATTTCACATATAAATGATGCATGTATTTGAAAAAGAATCAAGTCTGAATTAGTTTACAATATCTTACATTGTTTTGGATAAGGAATAGAATTTACAAGCTGATGCGGCATCACTGGATCTGCTTTAGGTTTTGCAAATACAGGTGGATGGTCTCCAAAAATAATTATCATAACTTGAATTAAACTCTCCAAATCTGATTTATGCTTCAACAGACATAAGAATACAAATTTTATCTAATGTTATGGAATAAAATTTTAGATGGCAACACTTAACATAATCAAATGATACGAATTCATTCATACGTATTAAAACAATTATTTTTTATCTTAATCTAAAAAAATATCTAACATAATAAGGTATTATATCTCACAATCATAAATTTACAGCTAAAACAACTTATAATCATATGCACGAAGCGTAAACAACTAATTACCAGAATCAATTTAGAATGATCCCAGCACAGCCTGATAAAATATCTTATCTTCGTGCCTAATTGGCCTACAGTAAAACTTGTTAAAAGTATTTGAAAATCTGTTATCCGACCAGCCAGTCACATTTTTTATAATATTAACCTTGATTTCCTGTGCAAAAGCCTTAAAAGAAGAAGCATGCATCATCAAGTGGGTTGAGTTGACTTCATTAACACTAGTTTCTTTCAGCACAGCCTTGATCAACCGACTAATATTATTGGAGCTGACTGCCACGTATAGCGGCTTGAACGAGATTAACAATTGTCTTGTTACTTTGAAACTTATTTGATGCTTCAGTAGAACCTCTCAACGTATTAGCCGCAAAGAAAGCCTTGTTAGAAAAGGGTATAAAACAAGCACATGGCTAGTTAGCTGATGGGATCCTGATTTCGACTTTCTTATCTACAACTTATACGTTGTTTAAAGTAATCAGGTCAAGAGAATGTACTGTAAATGCGGAGCCCAAAAATCGTGAAAGCTAATCAACGATATTGCTGCTCTGATAGCCAGCAATGACCTAAATACTTCTCCTTCCTCAAACTTTTTCGTGAGAAAACTGAGCAACATTTTTAAGTCCATTGTAAATGGATCCTTAGCTTACTTTTGACAAAGACTCCACGAATACTTTAAAGTGATTTTATACTGTTTTAAGGTGCTCCAGGCAACCGAAGCTAACATAGCGGCAACCGTGTCAAGTAGTAAGCCTTGTCGTTCACAGGCCTGTCTGACATAATCCCTGCAATTTTGAAAAAGGGATGCTGACAAAGAATGCTTGATTTTCCTGCAAGGAGATACAAGAAAATTCTTATGAGGCTTCTACACAATAGGCTTGTTCACGAGGAAATGCTTAAATTCTGGATACTACAGTTGGGAAGGCCAATAGGGCCTAATCAGAAAACCCCGAGAAATCTCATGCGTTACCTTCATAAAAATATTAGCTGCGCATGCAAATGATGGAAAAGCATAGCAGAAAAAATTGGACTAGGAAATTGCGAAGGCTTTGATCATCCAGTCCACCAGATCTCAATCGCAACAACAGTACCTCCTGCACTTACTATTGACTCTTGAAGAGAATAAATCCACTGCTGGATTTTCCATTTTTTGACTAACTTTTTAAAATGCACTATCAACCAATTCCTTGTATACATCCAAACCAGAGATTCTGGATCCCTTGTCCACAGAATTATTTTCTGACGTCACATATTCTGCAAATAGCCATTTTCTCCATTAAATGTACCAAAGCCAAAGATTTTTGGTTAGATCATCGAGCGTTTGGTCTTTAGCGGATATAACCTATTTTGCTAATGTATACTAGAGTGGTTAGATTATTTATCAATTCTTAGAAAAATTTGAATATCACAGAATGATTCATTGAAATATTTGAGATCCAGTAAAGCTAATTTAATATAAGATAATTAAAATGCATTGCACGCTTTCTGCTTCCAACGAAAATCAAGGGCTCCTGATTACTACACAAAATCAAATGATCTAATGCAGTTGAATAGAGAACCTACATGGGCTCGCCACCATGAAAAATCTTCCACTACCTCAGATGACAAATTTACTAGCAATCTCTTCTTATGACGATAAATAAGCCTTTTGTTTTAAACACTTTCAGTGCTTATTAAATAATCAGCCATAAGCTACGGCCGGACACCCCACCACTAAAATTTTAATGAAACTAGATAAATCTTCTTAACTGAGGGCTTTAATTGACATAATACTATCGAAAAAACTAGCAATACCTTGCTTCTTTTATGGTAAAACACAAAGTATGTTGTGGGAGTTAATGACTATGCCCAAAAAGATTATTTATTACCTAAGGGTTGACTCACTTTTGACTCGATTAATGATGCAGCCGAGCAATTCCAAAAGGAAGGCAAGCCGTTTATAATTTCTCATATATTCTCTTAAAGAACTCCCAAAAACTGAAAAATCGTCCAGATAAGCTAGAACTTTAATATTCTCTCCTCCTAACCTTTTTAATATTGGTTTGCCGATTTTTGTAAGCAGGCAGGAAGCAGAAGTTAAACCGAAAAGTAAGTATCTGAACTCAGAAATATCTTTATAAAAAACAAATTTAAAATATATTCTGCGATTCTATTGAACAGCCTTTTCCATTTCATATATATTTAGATTATTTTTTGTCAACAGCACGTCCACTAAGGTAAGATATCCTTTGTAAGTGAAAAAGTACATAAAACATACAGCGTATGTGGGCTTGTCCACTGAGAGTGGGACACCTTGTAAGCGCGGGATTTTTTTCGCCCGAACACGCTGGGTTCAACTCGCTCATAATAGCTGAGAGATAGATAAAAAAATTATTAAAAAATGCTAATCGACATATTTTAATCTGCTCTTACCGATAGTGCTATTTTTTTCTCAAGACCATTTTTCCACGGAGTGGAATCATTCAAAAGTGTGTAGTATTCAACAGCTTAAAGCAATCAATATTAACTGAATTCAAGTTGGACACTTGGCTAACACTTTCAAAATTTACATAAGCCCCAACTAGTACAACATTAAGGCCCATCACGCACAAATTCAATAAGACAAAACATAAAAAAACTAGGGGAATGGGATGAATATCAGTAGAAGTAATCAAAGTAGCTTAAAATGTACTTTTTTATTAAACATCAGTTGGGTGTGCCCGACATCCTGGCTGATATTTTTAAAAAAGTATAGTACATAAATACATTTTACACTATTATTCTGCTCATTCCTGCTGGTATTCCTTACATTTCTGTCATTTTTTTTATTCATTGCTCTTCTTGCGTTTGGGTGTAAAAGGACTTGTATATGGGATTGTCCACTGAGAGTGGGACACCTTGTAAGCGCGGGATTTTTTTCGCCCGAACACGCTGGGTTCAACTCGCTCATAATAGCTGAGAGATAGATAAAAAAATTATTAAAAAATACTAATCGACATATTTTAATCTGCTCTTACCGATAGTGCTATTTTTTTTCTCAAAACCATTTTTCCACGGAGTAAAATGAGTCAAAAGTTTAGGACGTTTCTCTGAAATTCGTCATAGTTTAAAAAAATAAAATTTGCAGAAATCGAAAGAGCAATGCTAAAACATTAACTCCACAAATGTTATAAGTAGGAAAGTAAAAAATGCATGAATTACAAGCAAATGAAGACGTTGACATGAGCAAGGCAGCGCGGCATGCAGTTGTCGCCTGCACCACGCCGCACTACGTTCCAAAACGCTGATATCGGAGGTCACTTTGTCATAAATCAAATATCTTAATAACGAAAAAAGGTAGAGGTCTAATTTTATTTTTTTTTTTAATTTATAGGTGGTCAAATTGTGAATTAGGGAAAATTATTGCAGATTCCGTAAAATCATAACATAACCTCAAAATTTTATGATTTCTGAGAATTTTTTAAGGAATGAGCAAGAATAGTGAGGCGACCAGGTAGGTATCCGTAAGACCACCAAAGCTTATTCTACGTTTTTTTACCTCCTAAACAAGATTCTGTAGGGTGCGAGCCCGAAAAAGTCCGAAATCTATTGTTATTAACAGTTTACATAAACAAATAAAAAAATTTCACGTTTTTGACCAAAAAAAAGTTTTAATAGATTATCTAAGTCATTTCAAACAAAAAAATCTTACAGTATTTAAGAAAATTGCTTAGATTTTGCAGAAAAAAATTGTAAATGTTGCAAAATCACTGAATTCAATGAATTCTCGGTACGCACTCGTCATTTTGCCTAAATCTCTGAAAATATGTTATTTTTCATTATCTTGTTAGCATTGGATTATGCATCTTGAGCTCCTGAATTC